CAAGACATTTTACTAAAAGCTGTTTGAGTTCCCGGAATCTTTTTGAAATGGAAAGCTTTTTATGGTATCTAGAGCAATAAGATGAAAATACAGTTGAATGAGTTATTTCATTTTTTAACATCTAGTACTTTTGTATAATTCAGTCATTCTTCTGTGTTCTTGGTTTTAAAGACTTTATTTTTAATACTTAAAACTAAAATTCCTTCAAAGGCATAATATATATTTATAAAGATTGTATATATATTATATTATCATATATGTAAATGTATGATATGGTACATTTTGCCTATTTTGCATTCTTTCAGTCTACCTATAAAACATTTGTGAACAATTTCTTAAATATTAAAGATATAGAAACCATACATGTCTAAATATCAAATAGAAGCATATTTTTTTTTCAAGCTGTCCAGTTTGGCCAGGAAACTTCAAGCTGAGTTGTGCCCCTGCTCCCTGACCACCTCTCCTCACTCCCAAACTGGGGGGCTCTCTTACCTCTGCTGAGAGGAAAGGACCCACAGACACAGACATAAGCTCCTTGTCTAGGACTGTTCAAGGGTTAGGTGAGAGTTTGGTCAAAAATAACTCCTTACTGGTTCTTTCATTCTGGCCTTTTTTGGGGACCTCAGGTGACTCTCATTCCTCTCCGTAGGAAGGGTCCCATTGAGGGACTCCAGTGCTAGTATCCTGGTTAGTTTTTGTCAACGTCACACAAGCTAGAGTCATTGGAAAAGGGAACCTGATATGAGGAATTGCCTCCATCATATTGACCTCAGGGCATGTCTGCGAGGGCCTTTTCTAATTAAACTAACATGGGAGGGCCTAGCCCACTGTGGGCAGTGTCATCCCTGGCCAAATGGTGTTGGGTTGTATAATAAAGCAAACTGAGCAAAGCGGGGAAGTCAGTAGGCAGCACTCTTCCATGGTCTCTGCTTCAGTTCCTGCCTCTAGTTTCTGCCCTGACATCTCTCAAAGATGGATTATAACATGGAAGTGTAAGTCCAATAATCCCCTTTTCCCCAAGTTGCCCTTGATCAGATGTTTTATCCTAGCAATAGAAATCAAACTAGGACAGCTGGGAAGCGTGCTCACATCCCGAGGCCATCTACCTCTCCCTTCAAGCTTCACCATAGACGTGGGATCACCTCTGTTGGCCGTGTTTAATAATCAGCTCTGCCCTTTTCATGTAACATTTCCCAAGTCTAAAGTGACATAAACAAACCAGATTTCTGAAGCTCAATATTGGGAGTAAGACAGGATGAAATAAAATATGCTGTGCCAGTCTTTGTGAAAGCATGGGGAATGGAATAAGGGAAGGGACAATAATTGTCATCTTGGCTCTTCGTTTTTAATAATTTGATCTTTTGCTTGAACCTTTTCTTAGAGTCGCCTCAGTAGCAATGCATTGGATAGAGTGGTAGTTATTTCTATTCTCTACCATGTAGCAGGATTGATGAAAAAGCCAGATTGGTCTGAAGACAGGTTTTAAAAAAAATGTTGTGGAGTAAAAGCAAAGAAAAATTGAGGTCTGGATTCCCAGCTCCTGTGTAATTTAGCACTGGCTGCATCGTGTTTGTGTGATTTTGTGCCAAAGCTGAGATTGGGGGTGTGGGACACAGTTTAAGAGTTTATAGAGGATTTGCTGTTAGTAATATTTTCCTGCTTGGCGCTGACATTTTAACAAAGCAGAAAAAGCATTTGGCTAATTAGATGTATCAGCATGATCCCTGGAAGGTGAAGGTAAATTGGTACCTGGGTAATTTGGAGAAGGAAAGGATCCAGACAGACGAAGCAAAGTAAAGAACATATACCCTTCATGAAGGGCCAGAGGATACCAGAAGAGCCCATTCTGTGGGGCTGGGAAGACATCCAGCAGCAGACACGAGTGATTTCAGGGAGGCTCAGGCCAAATCACTGAGCCTGAGAGAAAGGCCCAGGCCACAGAGCTACATCTCACCCCTTTTATGAACTGACTGCTCTTTCTCCCCCTCTCCATCTGCCATGTGAGCTTTGGATCTAGGTGGCAATCCCATGCCTGGAAACCACAGAATTGAAGCAATTAACTGCTCTTGACTCAGAAAATCAAACTACTTCTATGTTTTTCAATGGGGATGTTTGTAACTTCAGTGAAAACACATTCAAAGTAGATATTTGGCTCAACAACTCTTTCTTAGTCTTAGTAAGGTTTTTTTTTTTTTCTTTAACTTGTAACAAACAACACAGAGTTAAGCCATTGAGGAGCTGAAGGGAGATGCTGTTCAACGCAGTCAGATACGAATGGAGTACAATTGGCTTTACCCGAATCCCAAGAGGCTATTCCTGACTGTGAAGAGCAGCCTGGCCCAGGAAGACCTATAGGGTGTTGTTATAAGACTGCTTTTTCATTTCCAGCTGCTCAGCTCTGAATTAATTGTGCAGAAACTATGTTGTTTAAATCACTGCTTGGCCCATTAGCTCTAGTTTCTTATTGGCTAAGTCTTGCATATTAATTTAACCCATTTCTATTAATCTGTGTATGGCTATGTGGCTGTGGTTTACTGGGTAAAGTTCCAGTGTCTGTCTCTGACAGGGCTACCTGGCTTCTTTCTGACTGTGCCTTCTTCCTCCCAGCATTCAGTTTAGTTTTCTCCATCTACCTTCGATTCCCTGTGCAGGCCCAAGACAGTTTCTTTATTAACCAATGGTATTCACAGCATACAGAGAGGAATCCCACATCAGTTGGGCACATAATGAACCCAATCATGTTCATCATGATTGAAGAAGACCAGTACCTCAAGCAGACAAGCTCAAATAGTCCTCTCAACTGCAGATGGCAGTGGAGATGCGAGGGGTGATGCATGGATGGAAACCGACTACTGTTGTTGTAGCATCTGATATCCTGGGAAAATTAAAACTTGAGGCTGTGAGATGCCCAGTACTCCTGCACATTGCGTGAGGAGTGAGAGCAGCCAGAGCCTGCTGTGGCACTGCCCTACTGCCAAGTCTAAGCTTAGTCATGCCTCACTCGTCTGTGCTTTTGTCATCTACAGCAAATTAGCTTTTCTCGGAAATGGAATGGTTTTATATCATCTCATCTTAGAGGGCGCTTGCAAGAACTAAAGGAAATGAAGAGATGATGTTTTCCAGATGTGAATCATTACACTCAACACACAGTGAGTGCTCATCAACCAGTGGGCAGGAGAGGGTGCCGACAGCTGACACTAAGGGATGGGATGGTGACTTTTCTTGGGGCCATTGTGGTTTTCCTGCTATGGACAGAGGGAGATCCCAGAAGCAGAGTGGTCATATCTAGCCACACTCCAGGTTGTCAGTCATGATCAAAACAAACCGGGGCAGGGGGTGGGAGTGGACTCAGTCATTCATCTTCACGATCTTGAAATGAGTCAAGGAAATTAAAGCAGAAGTTCAGGTGAGTCTCATGTAGGGTTCCTTGCTTTGTGAGACCGAATAGAATCCTCTTTTCCTGATTCATATGACAGCATAGACCTAAGTCCGCATAAAGACCAAGGGAGTTGCCATGGCAGCCTGAACCTGCCCTTAGTGTTTTCTTCCTTCTCCCTCTTATTGAGCTCATAACTATATAAATATATAAGTGAGGGATCCCAAGTAAGAGATACTGGGTTTATATTTTACAGTCTTGTAAACCAGATAGAGAATATCTTATTTTGTCAGTTCCAGTTTGTAATTAGTAAGAAAAGCAACAATTGGTCAGTTTAGTGGACATGTAGCCAATCTTAAATCATACCAACTCTGTGCTGGGTCCAGACAGGGTCAGGTGCCCAGGTCTTAATCAGCTACTGCATCCATGAGGCAATAATGGCAGACTGATATACAGGGTACCATGGTAACCATAAAATGGGAGTGGAGGAGGTGGATCTGAGAAGTGGGAATTCTTGGCAGATGGAGTTACAGAGGCCTCAGCCTGGATTCCTGTCCAAACTGGAAGGGAAGTGTGATAAAAGTACATCTCTCTTGCCATAGGCACAGATTCTATGGCCTGCCCTGCTCTCTCTACAGAAGGAGCACGAACTGCCATCAAAGGGAACTTAAGTGTTCTTGTAATCTTGGAAAGCGGCTGAGTGTTGGAAGAACCTTGCAACAGATCTCTGTGCCCAATGCAGACAACTCGAGATTTCTATGAGTTCTATTAATTGATGTATTGCAAAAGTTGAGATGTGGGGTTGAGTTCTGTTGTGATAAATATTTACAATGTCCTATTGTATTGTTAAGACTTCTTTCCTTTAGGTAACAGAGATTTCCTCCACGTGAAGATTATGAGTGAACATACCTTGAACGCTCAGTGCAGCTGAGTGACCGGTGCTCAAAAAACATTAGCATTAACTGTCTACAGCCCTTTGATGGTTTCACTCAACAAGCCCGGAATATCCAACCTGAAGTTATAAGTTGTTTCCTTCTTCAGCCACGGCAGGGACCCTGTGTCTTTATGTCACAGGCTTCTCACGTCACATATATAATGGAGGATTAATAAATAGTCACTAAGTGAATGGTCAGTGAGCAAAGTTGGGACCTCACAGCTGGTGGCCTGCGGGGTGTTTTCTGCTGCCTCTCAGAAACGAGCAGATTCCTGTGGTACACTCAGACAGATACTGCAAGCTGGCTTCTTTGACAACCTTGACGGAAATAGTTTCCTTTGCTTATTCATTTACTGAGTAGTCATCAGGTCTGTATTAATATTCCTAACATGGTCAGTTTCTGTTTAGGCAGTAGAGCATGCATTTCCATCTCTGGTGTGTTCATGAAATGCCCTCTGCTGGGGCAGGGCTTTGCTGGCCCCTTGGACAGACTGATTAGACGCAGAGAATAATTGTTTTTTTCCATCTAATTTTTGTCAGCCTCACATGTGGGTGAAACTTATCAAGGGATGAAATTGGAATTTTGTTTCCATCCCACACTCTCTGACTTTTATGTAACTGGCATCAATAAAGGACAGAAATAGATAAACTAATAAATGATTTCTTAGAATTTTCTTCGAGGATACTGACATCTATGCCTTCCTGAACCGGCAGCTCCTCTGAGACAAAGGCAGCCACTTCTACAGGTTGGGTCCTTTGAGTCTTCCATCCAGGACTTGCTTGAATGGCCTGAGCGATGGGTTTTCCCAGGTCTCTGAAGCAAGCAAAGCAACACAGCAAAAATGAACACTGAGAGGAGGAAAAACGAAACTTAAGAGAATGCACCGCCCTCTTACCACGGTGTTCTCCTTCCTCGGAAAGAAGAAACACACTTCCTTTCTCCCAACCTTGACTCTTTGCTCTCAGAGCTCACACATATCATTAGTAAAATGAAACAATTGTTTCCATGGGGATATCCTAGCAGCTTCTCTCAGTAGAACATCTGCTTTGGCAACCTTTGCACCCTTGGGTCAGAATGGCAATAGCTCAGGCAGAAAGAGCTTTCTGAGGATAGTCTTGAAAAAAATTCCCACCATGCTTTGGAATTTCACTCATTTTTAATTTCATTCCATTTAACAGTAGCCCCAAGGCTGCCAACTTGTTTCCGTGGGTAAAGGTCCTTGACACCAAGCCGGATCATCCCCTTGTCTCACATGATGGCAGAAGAGAACTGGCCTTCAAAAGCTGTCCTCTGACCATCACACATATGCTATGATACCCATGCATATGCACAGGTACACGCACACATGTACACACAACACACATACACTCATAAATAAATAAGTGTGATTTTTTTAAAAACGTAATGATGATTTAGGCGATTAAGTTATATTTCGTATAGCCCCCTAAAAATAACAGGCCTTCAGAATTGCATTATTAAAACATTAACCCATAAATGAAACACTATTTTATTAGGACTCTTTAATCAAGAGTACGTGTGAGAGAGGACTGCAATGTTACTGTGAAGACAAGGAAGGCGGAAGTCAGGGGGCAGCTTACAGGGGTCAGTACTTACTTCCCACCCACCTATGGGGTCTGGTCATGAACACAGGCCATCAGGCTTGGCCAGTCTCTGCCTATCTATTGCGCCTTCTTATTAGCCCTTTTACTGGGAATTTTAAGTGATACATATATTTATTCTATTTAAAAAGAAAACTTCAGGAAAGCACCTAAAAAAGGAAAGTTTATGTGTCTGTTCAAGACGGCAGATCATAGACCGTCTCTCTTTGTGTTGGGTCTCTAGACACTGGAAAAAATAATTTGTACCCACTGTCATTTTGTCTGCTTTCCCAGGGCCCAGAGTCATCTGACTTCCATGTCATTGAAGACGCTCTCTTACAGATAGACACTAAAGTTTCATGCCATTGAATCAGAAAACCAAGCCTATTCAGCATCGGGTTTCCTAACACATTTTTTCTCAGTATAAATAAAGTTGAACAACACACTTCATGTTTCTAAAGCCAGAAGTCGGCACAGCAGACTGCCAAACAAGTTAGTTACGTTCCCACTATTTCTAACTGACAAAGTAAAGCTTTCTATAGCAAGGGCAATTCTCAGTGCTTTAGAAATACTAATTAATTGAATATTGTAGCTCTTACATAGCACTTGCTATTATTGGAATCCCACAGAAGAAGAAGCTGAAGGCATAGAGAACTAAGGTAAATGAGAAAGTCAGTAACTGGAATGATAGACTCGTATCCTCTGGATGACCTCATTTTGGAAGTCTAGTTTAGATACAGCTCTGGATTTGCTTTTGTTTTTAAGTGGACTTTTTTAAGAAGCAAAATTTAATCCAGAAATACAGACAGCTCTCATGCACTCCCTGTGCCCTACCCCACCTAAGTAGCACTCCCCATGAGTTTCCCACAGCAGCGGGCACATGTATTACACCCTATAGGCCTAGTTAGCACTCTAGACCTTGAATCCAGCTCCAATTCTTAACCTGTCCTTCTAACCGCCTCTTTATTTTAGTGTTTTTACCTGACTCAAGGGCATAAAAAGGAGGGTCTTACCTGGAACTCTTGGTAAACAGGTTTGGAAATTATGGCGTGCCTGTAGTTTATCTTTAGATAATTTGATGTCTATCAATGGCACATTGACATTTGACACAGGCTGACTGGGATTCAGCTTTAGGTGTAACCAGCTAGTTTAATTAAAAATTAACACTCTGAGTCTGCAGCTGGTGTTGTTTCTACAAGGCTATGCACCTCTTGAGAGCTATACTTGTGTCTGTCACCCAGGGCCACAGAATACCCCAGAATTAGTGTGTTTCGTTTATTAATCTGGTAAATGTGAGAAGTGAAATCTAATCACAGGTATTCAATATATATGGGCCAGCTTAAATATTTTATAAATGTCAACTACACTGGCTTAAAGAGAATGAAAGTGTTAGCAAGCCTGGTAGCTTGTACCCTTCATTCTAAACGCAGTGACTAGAAGAGGCACGTCTAGCTGGCTGTTGACTAGGACAGAGTTACAGGGTCCTGTCTCTAAACAAGGGCGGAGCATTTTGACCGAGTTTCACGTGGAGTAGCACACCGAACTTCTGTGATGAGAACAAGGACTTCATTGAGCTGGAAGAAGACGCTTCCTTAATTACATTAGACTTGATCACTAAGACATGTTTGTTCAGTGACTTCTACGCATGGCCAATGTGGTCGCACTTTTACTCAGCCTTAACCTCATTATAGTAAGATCAAGGGACAGTAGCTGATGCACTCCTGCTTCAGCATCGGGTGAGGCGACGGCTATGTATTACAGAGACTCTAAGGACTGTCCATGTAGTGTGGCATAGGGCTTCTCTGTAACAGGTGTAACAGGAGGCAATCATGAAAGAACTGGGATCCTCGACAGTGCCTCTGCTAAAACCAGTGTCTATTCCCTGTCTCAGAGTTTCTCTTGTTACTTCCCTTAAAGCCAAGCCAGTCATTATGTTGCTAGGACCCTGTGCTCTTCTGCATCTCTCTAAACTCAAAACAGAAAGAACCATCATTTTATTGCCAAACTATTTAACTCTGTGTCCCCACTTCTCCCATCCAGATTATCTTCCTTTAACTTATTTAAGGGGACATGTTTGTGTATTTATACCAGAGTTAGTTGCTATAAATTTCCTTATAAAACAGAACTATATCTTGGCTTTAAACACTACATTGTTTGTCTTGTTTAATTCATTTATAAGATGATTAAAATAGGGACGAACCAGCCCAGCCAACTGTTGGGAGGAGACATATGTTAGCCTGTATGTCTTCTCCATCACCAGATGATTGGGGAGTTTGCTTGTTTTTGCTTGAGGTATTGATTTCTAAGCTTTGGAATATAGGTATAATATAAACAAATTTCAGATGCCTGCGGTTGCATTTGGAAAATATCTGTTAATCAACTCTTGCTTTTCAATAGGTATCATGTGTTAGCAGGATGGCATTTAAAGGGCTGAGCTATAAACTTGCCCTAAGAAGTGAAAATCACCTGTTTCTGTTGCCTCATAGCTATGTTCTACACTTTTTCCTGTTGGTTTTGTAAAGCAAAGAGACAGAAACCATTATACTAACAAGGCTAGCTAGTTTAAGTTAAAGAAAATTCCTAAAAGAGAGTGCACGAAAGTGGGAAAATGGAGATCTTAGGTAAGGAAGGTAAATTCAGAAGGAGGGTAAAATAAAAATGAGGATTTCTGAAAAAAGACCAAGGAATCAGATTATTAACTATTTTCTAATAAAATCTATAACACATAATTCCTTGTATACATATACATATATAATTTAAAAGAAAATTTCTCACCCAATCTGGCAATGCTCCTTCCAAGAGGCAAAGACCACCTAAAAAGGAAACCCAATACCAGACATGAGAAACTCTTTTTTGAGTATATGTCAGGTCTGTCAAGGAGACTCCCCAAACATACAGCCTTCCGCAATTGCTCTTGCTTACTCCCCAGAGATGGATAGTAAATCCCTATTCCTGAAGACACTATGCATTTAAGATACAGGGTCCAGAAGCCCCTGAGATAGAATCAACCTGAATAGCTAACCTAAATGCTTCCTTTCCGAAGACTAGCTTTCATGATACCAGAAGGTTCCATGCAAGCTTCCAAAGGAGGGTAGCAACCAACAGTCCTACTTAGCTATAAATAACTGTGAACCACAAAGACAATCAGCAAGGCATGGAAACCCTAAGGGTGCAACATTTGTACACACCTTGGTAATAACTAATAACTCTCTAATTGGATGTAAGGCCCACCCACTCAACAAGAGGGAAACCAGGCCTAGTACTTGAAACCCAGCCAACTATGCAGGGCCAGTGGAGTCTTGGATCTTGGAGGAGAACCTACAAACATCACTTTACAAAACCAGCACAATCCCTAACTATATTTTAAACATTTCTCCTTATATCCACAGGTAAATCTAGTCTTCACCCCTCATCAAGGAAACTTCTCTTTGTAACAGAGACCATTACAGAAATCCACAACCAATTAAAATGCAGAGTTGTGGATCCCAGTCCCAAAGGATACAGCTACATTACAACTGCTGCACCTAAGGCTCAGAGAAGAATATAGATGGGGGAGAAAGATTGTAAGAGTCAGAGAACCCATGAGTTTGCTGGTAAACTGTGCTTCTAGTAATGTCAGAAGCTGTATTCGGCAAGTCTCACTGCCCAGATGTGAGCTGAACAAGTACAGTAACAATAGACACACCCAAGTAGATGAGAGAAAAGCCTGAGGCCTCAACCCTACAGAGCTAAGGGCAACTAAGGAATGCTGAGAGTAGGAGAAATAGTTTTCCTCAGGAAAGAACACACCATTTAGTTGTTCAGTGCCAACTGGTCAGCCCTAAAAATATACATTTGACTAATAACACATAGACTGAGTGGGCTCTATTTAGGAATGTGTGCATGTGCACACACACACACACACACACACACATGTAACAATTAATAAAAAAGGAGGCCATAAATTTGAAAGAGAAAAGGGAGGAGTATATGGGAGGGTTTGGATGGAGAAAGGGGAAAGGGAAAATGGCATAATTATAATACTAAAAAGAAAAGAAAAGTGAGAAAAAAAGAGTGTATGATGTAATCTGGGAACTTAGTACATTTGATTCTATGCATGGACCTTCACCTTCTGAACTACCTTCCTCCTAAGACAGTGCTGAAGATAGTATATGTTTTAAAAAGACATTGTTTTGATCCCTAAAATCTCATTTGCTATCTGGCTTTCGGGGTGCTGCCCCAACAGGCAGAACAGAGCCTGCTGTGTTGATGAGACCCTTTCTTCTGAAGTCAGCCAGCACGCGCCCAGCCGGAGGGCCACAGCTCTCTGGTTGATTGCAGTTAAGTGCTGAATGCAAGGCCTTCTGGGAATAGGTGCCTTCTTGAACCTAGCTCGTGTTTTGATTACAGAAACCAAAAATAGGCAAGTGACTGTGGGGCTCCAGGTAGGAAACACTGCGGAGAGAAGGCATCAGTTTAGTCAGAGGCAGGGGACTGGAGTCTTAAAACAGAAGTGCTAATGCTGGCCCCGTCACAGTCTGTAGAGCTGTGTAGAGGAGGAAACAAGTTTTCGAGGAGACAATGCATGCCCATACTCTGCCTACATTCTTAAAGATGATCCAACAAGAAAAAAGGTTATGACTTTTCCTTAAAAATTAAAGCATTCCTTATATTCAAATCCACAGAGTCGCTGTCAGGAAAGTAGGTGGGAACTGTCTAAAATAAATATGTATAACACAAAGCTTGCCGGTTGCAAATGACCTTTAGTGTGCCGAGTCCTGAACTACTGTATCTTCTTTTACAAAAGAGCCTAGTTTTAATATTATGAGAATTCTCCCTTTGGTCTAGTGGTTCATTTCTCATTTTCTATAAAGTCTCTGGTTTACAGAGGTTGTTTTGTTCTTTCTCCTCTAGGTATTAATGAAACGCCTGTCATCTAAAGGAGTTATTCATAAGGCTTATCATTTGACCTCACACTAGAAATATCACCTCCAAACCCCCTTTCATCTGGGAAAAGAATCTACGCTACACACAACAGCGTTGTGCCGTTTGTTCTCCGTCAGCCGTGATAAGAAAGGTTCACTTCCAAAAGGCACGCTCGTTCTTGGACACTAACTTCATTACGGCAGCAAAATTGACTTTTCTGCACCTGCTCCTCGGCAATAGACCGTTGGAATGATTAAACAAGTCGGTCCATGCAGAGAACTTCAAATATTTCTTGGCTTACAGAAAGAATTCAACAAATATGAATTAACAATTTTAGTACTTGATATGGCAGTATTTATAGAGTGCCAGAAATATCTTATGTAGCATGAATAATAAAAACCCAGAGACCGATACTGGGGTTCAAGCTGAAGATCAGAAAAGCAAAGCAGCCAACCACTACTTCTACCAATTCTTCAGACCCGAAAGGGCGAGATTCTGTTTCTACAAATCTTCAGACTCCACACCCCAGTGAGTTCCTGTCTTCCTTTTTGTATTCTTCTCTCTGCTCAGCCATATCACTCTTGTCTCCACCCTCTAGTGCTGGGATTAAAGGTATGTGACTCCCAAACACTACGATTAAAAGTGTGAGCCACCACCACCTGGATATGTTTCTGGATCGATCTTGTGTAGCCCAGAGTAGCATTGAACTCACAGACATCCATCTGCTTCTGTCTCCTGAGTCCTATAACTAAAGGTGTGTACCACCATGGACCGGCCTGTATGGCTGACTAGTGTGCTTGCTTTACTACCTAATCTTCAGGCAAGCTTTATTTATTAAAACACAAATAATATAGCACTATAATATTATCTCGATCATTCTATGCTGACAAAACCCCAAAAGACTTTTAATTGATATTATAGTTTCTCTATTTCTGACCCTGTCACCTTAAACAGCCAAAGAGAAGGCCAGCAGAAGGAGCCAGAAAGTGGAAGGTTCTTGACATTCCAATTTAGAACAATCAAATTTCACATGATTTTTGCTATTTGACAGCTGTGTAATCCTAGATAAGTGTCATTATACTGGGGCAGGGGGGCTACAGGTATGTGTTTGTTATTGTCTTACCGACTTACTGTTCAAAATGGATTCTAGCTACGGCATCTCATGAATCCACTTTAAATATGAATCACTACAGTATGAGGGGAGGGGTTTGCAGAGCCCAGAGCATCTACCCTTCCCTGAGCCCTTCACATTTGGCTGCCTTCCTTGAACCTGACACTAGAGGAAGAAACTCTGAACATTTTAATTTATGGCTCAAACAAAAGGCACTCTTAATTAAAATTTAGAAGCCAATTCTATAGACAATGTCTGGAAGGAAGCCCAGAAGAAAAGAAAGATTGTGATATAACCAAGCAAACCTACAAAAGTTTAAAAAGTGGTTGAAGATAAATTTGTCTGTATCTCTGCATATTCAGGGGAAGTCATCTGGGGCTAAAAGAGAGTAGAATTGACTGAATGGGACAGCTAGCCTCAGCTAAGCTAGACTGCAGACCCTACATCCCCACTAAGTGGTCAGGGAAACATATACCTATAACATCTTTCTATCTTGTGGGATATCACTGGGCAGGAATATAAGACAAAATGTAAAGAGATATCACATTTACCAGGGAGGTTCTCACTAATAGGAAGTGGGATAAAGTTCTTGAGATGATGGATCTGCTTCTGATCTTGATTTGCAGAGGTGCTCTTCTGGCTACAAACATGTCAAACATACACAGTTTACAGATTCCATCTCTACCCTATAAAGCTGTTGAAATGTTCAATACTTACTAAAATCTCCTCATTGTGTGATATTGTTTGCATGCCCCCCTTGGGGTTCATTTTGAGAGGGAAAGCCCTTGGCTAAATAGAATTTTAGCCTCGTTGGGTCTAAAACTAAATGTCTTCTCAGTTGCATCCTAACTTTATCCCAGTAATAATGGGAAAAAATATATTCTCCCTCTTCATACCAGGTAATCCTCCTCCCTGAAAGACTGTCCTGTTTTTAATCTTTTCCTATCTCAGTGAAGTATCTTGGCTAACAGGTAACTCCTGTTGGCCTGGAGAATCACACTCAGAGCAAAAAGACCAACTGTGGAAGCAATTAGGAAACAATGGATAGGCCTTGGGAAAGGCATCCATAAAAGAGAAAGATCTCCCATGGCATTATGGTAAGCTGCCTAAGCCTGCACTGCCTTTGTTTGGGGGTAACTAACTATGAAACACTCAAAGGCAGAAGCTTAGCCACTCTGTTGTCAAAGCTCCACAAGAAGCAGCAGCAAGGTGGGGATGGGGGTCATTTTATTTCATCGTTACATAAAACTGAAAAGCGTTCCGTGTTGGCAGAGAAATTTGTTTAATGGTTATCTGAAAAGACTCATAAATATGTATGAAGCATATGGATTTTATTATAACATAAGAGGAGCTAATGAAATAATGCATGGGAATGGGCTTTGTAAAGTATGAAGCATAGATAACCCCAAGCACTAAGTGTCCTTTCGTACCGTTCGAAAGAGTTCATAATTATGGAAAAAATGTTTCTAAAGGGCACCAGGAAAAGAAAGAGACTGAGAGATCCAAATGGCTTTAGAAAGTTTGTTTCTGAGAGTTTTAGATTTAATTGTAAGTCAATGGATTTCCTAGGGCTAATACTTAGCACAACATACTTTGTAAACTCTATGAATATTTATCTAGAACATGTGTGTGTATATATCTATCTAGTAACTTACACATATGGATGACCTTGCCATTTTGGCCAGGACATCCCATAATTCTACTTCCATCATTCTGCCTGAGTGTCAGACATTTTCCTGCAACTACTCTGAATGCTATAGATTATTATATGGTATATTGTTTAAGCCAACAATTACTTTCTTGAAAATGAGACTGTGTGATTTGGTTTTAGATGAACTGGAAGGTTTTTTTTTTTTTTTTTTGGTTTTTCAAAACCAGGTTATGGCTTTGGAGCCTGTCCTGGAACTAGCTCTGTAGACCAGGCTGGTCTTGAACTTACAGAGATCCGCCTGTCTCTGCCTCCCAAGTGCTGGGATTAAAGGCGTGCACCACCATCGTCTGGCCTAACTGGAAGATTTTTGAGTTAGAACATGTCCAAATCATTTGATGCTGAAATGCAATAAATAATTTATTCAATATTTTTTACTGACCAGGGAAATTCCTCTTCACCTATCCTACCTAGTCAATGTCCTCTTGATGAGGACACTGTGTCCTTGACCATACAAATTAGTCCAGGATTCAGGTAAGGCCAATGAATCTCTTACCTATGATATTTTAATATAATTTCTAATAAGGTGATCTAATTTCTTTTTAATTAAAAAATTATGTACAATATATTTTATCATGCTCGTTTTTCTCCTAGCTCCTCCCCATATTCCTACCTACCCAAATTCATGATCACTCTATATATGTATATAAACACATCAAACAAAAACCAAAAGCTAATAACAAACAAATAAAAAACAATAAGACAAAAAAAACATCAAAACAAAACAGAACACCTGCATAAGGACATGGAGTCCATTTTGTATTGGCCAACTGCTCCTTAGCAGGGGGCCTGCACTGCAGTATAGTTCATGTACCCAGTGCCACTACACTGTAGAAAATTGATTTTACCTTTCCCGAGAGGTTCCATGTGGAGGCCCAAGAATGTGAGCCTATTTCCGTGTTAATCAAAGGTCAAAGAGTTGGAACTAGCCTCTATTCCTTTAAAGTTATTGTGTTTCTACCTCTAAAAAGGTCCCACCTAGATTTAGACCAGAGAGTTCTGCTCTCAAGGTTATTGTCAACAGGTGTGGCTAATAGCCAAACTTTGTATTTCAAGAATAGAGAAGTAGATGTGTTCCTACCTCAAACAAAAGTCTACAAGTCCAACTAAGTTTCAGTTTCCTCAAGGGATTCCATCCAGTGAGTGCTTTGCCTACAGAATGTTTTGGACTAGGACGTGAGCCTGACTTGTTTTGTTGTAGCAACAGAATGTTTAACTATGGGTGTAGCCCATGACCTTCAACTGGTCTGTTCATTTCCTTGTTAATGCAGTCTTTGTCTTACTCCTACCTTTTGTGGTATTTTAAGCAATTGGAAATTAAAGGCAGGCAAATTCCAGTATTCACTGGAACTCCCTCCCAATACTATTATATATGTTTCTTCATTTTATTATTTTCATTCACATCTTCATATTCTTTACTAATATTTTCTAAATCCCCCACCTCTACCCTGGCAAGAGGTATTTTTTTTTATCAAGGCTGGTCCTTGACAGTACCAACTACAAATTGCTTCTACGTTAGAAGTATGATTTTGTGTTCACTTCACCTTCTTTGTGATGGAATTTTGTATGCTTTGAACTTGTTTGGGTCTTGTATATGTTGTCGCAGTCTCTGTGAGTTCATATGTGTATTAGCTCTGCTGTGTTGGGATTATGTTTTTTCCTTGAAGTCATCTACCACTTCTGGCTCTTATATCTTTCTTCATAGATTCCCTCCCTGATTCTTGAGATGAGGAGTTTAAAACCAAATGCTCTAACATCTTTCATTTGTTGCACATTGGCCAGCTGTGGCTCTGTCTTAGGGTTTCTATTGCTGTGAAGAGACACCATAACTATGGCAACTCTTATAAAGGAAAATATTCAATGGGGTGGCTTACAATTTCAGAGGCTCGGTCCAATATCAGCATGGCAGGATATGGTGGTGTGTAGACAGACATGGTGCTGGAGAGGTAGCTGAGAGTTCTACTTCTTATGCAGGCAACAGGAAGGGAACTGAGACATTGGACATGACTTGAGCATAGGAGACCTCAATGCCTGTCTCCACTTCCATACTTATTTTAACAAATAAGTGACATACAAAACAAAACAACATCTGTTCCAACCAGGGCACACCTCCTAATAGTGCCACTCTCTTTTGGGGTCACTTTCTTTCAAACCACCATAGGGTCTTTGTGTCATACATCTTTATAACAGTAATGGAGGAGACAATGCACCAACTAGATGTCTTACACCACTAGATACAATCTCCAGTACCAGGAGTAGGTTACAACTTGTAGAGTCATTGGTCAAAGCAGTCCCATAGACACCCATCCAAAATTATCATGGGCTATTGACAAGGCTCTTGATTATCCTCCATAACCTGGCAGTAAGGCTTTATTAGAGAAAATAACACTTACTTAAGTCACTGAACATGGAAAACTGAGCTTATGCCAAACTAGAAACTTCACCCCACCTTGACTAAAATTCATGGTGCTGGAAGGTGCTTTTCATCCTATCAGAGGAGAAAACTCCTGCTTTCCCTGGAGTTGTTCAGCTTATAACCCTGGTATCTACCTTAAAAGCATTTATCTGAGAACAAAGGTCATACTCAGGAAAGAAAACCACACTACATATGACCAGAGTTTCTCATATACTATTAGAGGTCCCATTCCCTGGGAGTTCATACACTAGGGATGATGTACGTTCCTGGCACCAGATATCTCTCTGTTTTCTTCTAAGTATAGAACTAACGATATTTTTAATTACCAAATTAATTTGGATATAGGTTTCATTCCATTTCATTGATGAACAACAAAATCCTACATGAAGAATTTAACATCAAGTCCATCTGAAGCTCACAGCTTGCCCTGGAGTCATCGTATGTTCTTTTATCCCCCAATTCAAGGAAATATCTTGATCCCAGAGTAGTAATACTTATCTTGGGGAACAGTTAAGGTCTCAGGCAACATTTTTCGGGATGTAAGAGCTAAAAGCTGCCTTTAACCACTTCAAGATGAGGCTAATAGAAACCATGTTGCTATACATAGTTCAATGCCTTTGTAGGAAGTTTGAAATGTGGGGCACTGTATATTGGCTTTGTCAATTTTCAGTTCTGTTTATAAAGCCCAACAAATGAAGTAATTAATTTATATTGATCATGACTGTCTTATAAAGGGGAAAGAAAGGAATTCAGGCTTTCCTGCATTGCTTGAAGACACTAAGGATTTATGCACCAATTTGTGTGTATTTGCACTCAGTGTGAAGCAGAGACTAGAATCAGAAACCCCTATCTGTTTTGCAGTGAGAAGTAGGAAGGTCTTTCGTAACATTTTACATTTCTTTATTTTGCTCAACAAATATTTAAAATAGATTAAGCTCTTATCCCAATACAATATAAAAAAAACCAACAACCCTCTGGAATAAATACACAAAATTTATAGCCTTGAATATCACATATCTCAAAAAGTTTCAAGCTAAGAAGCAATTTAAATCTGGTAAGTTGGCTCTGTAGTAGCCAATTGGGACTCAGAGCTCTGTCATATTTAATCAAGAAGAAATGTGCAGGCTAATTTATGTTATAGAAATCTCACTGGTGTAGATATTACTGAATCAGTTCTTCAGAGAAAAAATAAAAATATTTTTTACAAATCAATGTGAATTCTCAGGACCAGAAATTTCTTAAATTTAGAAAATATAAAGTAGTTTTTTAATACATTGAAAACTCCTTCATCAGATTTTGTGAAATACCAATCAATAATTTCAAGCATATGTACAAACATATTTTTTAAGAATAATCAGAACCTAGAGTTAATTTTATTTGCTTGTCTGTGTTCACCTCTGACTTTTCATCAATTTCTTTCATTGTTTATCAGTGCCAATAAAGAAAAAAAACAGTATTGGTCTGCAGGCAGATCTTCATATTCTATTTTTTTTCTTATCTCAATCAACTACCTTGTTGCTATGATTCAGTATTCAAATAAACATCAGTTTTCTGTACTTTAATTTGAATACCATTTCATGGTTTAAAGGTCCAAATTAATCTGACAGTTATCCTCATTATTTCAGTTTTTTTTTTTAAATAACAAAATACAGTCTCCTAAGTGATGGGCCAATAATAGCACTAAGTCCATGTACAAGCATGGTGCATACTTAAATACTGATTTAATTTCTATTATTTTTTGTTAAAACGGCAACTTAAAAAATATAAGAAAGAAAGAAAATGATGGGACAGGGCCCCAAAATGGGGGAAATAGAGAACTGCACCAAGAAGAGGTACCAGTGAGAATAGGCAGAGATTGTCCAGTTCTGGCAGGTTTAAGTAAGAAGACAGAACAACCCTGGAAAAATCAGGGGAATACATCTGCCTTCCAGACTCATCGGCACGATGACTGTGGAAACAAGACTCAGCTAGAACAATACGTGAAGGAGTTTCCACGGTGAGGCTCTGATGAGGAGGAAAATTTGATGACAACAGATCATGAGTTTCAGAAAACATGGTTCATAGGTTTAGGAGATAGGAAGAGTGGAATGGGGTAAAGATAGTTGGGGAGACCTAGGTCTTGTACTTCCTGTAATGACTGATTAAAAGGAATGAGTATAATTCATTCTTAAGATGTTCCCAACTTTGTTTTGAGTTATTGAAAGCATGTGAGTGGAATGTTTATCTTCTGTAGAAAAACACTTATAAATCATGTTGATTTTCAGTTGGAAAATGACTAGGAAGAAATGGTACCTAAGAACAGAACTAGCTAAAATAGAATACAAGAGTTGCAAAAAATTATTCAGACAAAAGTTTATGACAATTCTGTGAAAGAAATAAAGGAAATAATTAAAATTGGTATGTATGACAAACTTTTTTTGCCCAAAGTATAAAAAGTCAATAAAATTTAGTAAGAAATATTGCCTTGAAATATACATAGCAGGGAAATAAAGGATTAGTCAAATCCCACTGGGTTTAACTTCTCTGATTATGATCTATTACAAAATTTTAACTTCTCAATGTTATAGCAAAACAATTTCCCATAAAGTTAAACTAAATGTATTTATATCACAAACTAAAATATTAAATGCAGAAAATCAAGTGAATTTAATTTTCTGATAGATTTATAGCATAACTGCAAAGAACAAAACTGTAACTTTGTACATCATTAGTGGGATACTTTCTAAACATAGAAAGGATGCTAAGAAGCCGCCAGATGCTGGCCACACAATGGTCCCTGTACTCTTGAAGTGTTTGTTGGAGCAGAGAGATATGCTACTTTGAGACTGAGAGAGGTACTATGTGACACCATTAATAATAACTTCATGGAATGGCAAAATGTGAGAAATAGGGTGCTGGGGATACAGCTTCGTGGTAGAATGGAGCCTGAGCTCCATTGTTGGTTAACACAAAAGGCATTCAAGAGTTTGGGAGAGGAACATAGTAGAGTAACTGCCATGGGTAAGAGAAACAGGCTGAAAGTGGGGAGAGGGTGATAAGGGCTGTTGGATGAACCATGGGACATGGACTAAGTCAGCATCTTCACTGTAGTAGAGTACCTGAGTAAATCTGAAAGAAGGGTAAAAGTGTATTATATAGGATTCAATGTACAGACCATAGGTAACATGTGCACAGGAATACAGTAAACCTGGGTAGAAGGCCATGGAATGGTAGGCTGTCTAAATCTTGGATGATGCTCAATTCTTGTTCTCAAAAGGCTACCAGTGGCAAAGTCTGGGTCAAGAGATCAGTGGATCTAAATACTTTGCTACAACTTAAAGTGAACCCACAATTATCTCAATTAAAATGAAACAAACACAAAAAGGATTATAAAAATATCATGGAGTGTTTTAGTTGGTTGTTGACAGGATAGTCTTGATTCGGTAATTATGACATCATTTTGTTTAGACCATAAGACAGAACAAGTTTCTTAGATATATTAATGATTTGGGAGCCAGGATTTTTACCATCAGAGAAATAAAACATAAGCACACCATGGAGCAAAGGGAAAATAAGACATTAAGATATGAATTGTAAATGTCATCATTTCAAATACAATTCGTATGCACTATTCATTGAAAGATTTTAAGTGTGGACATGATAAGCAGCCAGGTCTTTGCTGCTGAGCACCATTCTCCATTCTAGACTTCCCGATTCCCATT